TCTTTTCTTCAGTGATGGACTCTAGTTGATTTCTCGTAGACTCAGCTTCCTCATCCTAAGAGAACATTTGAAAATTGACCATACGTAATCAGGAAAATAGAAAGAAAGCAAGCTCATTGAATGATCACACAAACTGAATTCCCCACCTACAAAATTACTGAATTTTTCAAGCAACTAAGCATTAACGCATTTTCAATTCCACACGAAAGCCAAAAACCACAAAATTCCCAGAAGATACCAAAAATCGTCAAGAACAAAGATAGAACCTTTATTTAGAAAACACAACAAAGAAAAAAGATGAAAACTTTGGGTACCGGAAGAGGAGGAGCAGAGGAGGGTTTATCAGAGATGGGATTAAAAAGACCGGTGGTGAGATCGGTGACAAAGTGCACTGCTTTGCTTCTGAAAGATTTGTGCTTCCCCATTGATCTCCTCTCCTTGTGCCCTTTTTAAAGTATCCTATTTTTAGTGAAATTAAAGACTTGCAGATTCCACAAGATCCTTTTGACAAATCCTACACCACAGATTGAGTCAGCTCTCTTTCTCTCTCTCTCTCTCTGTTTCTGTATTAGCTTCCGATCATTTACCTAAACAAGCCATTAATAGATCAACTGGAAACAAATAGTTCTAAAGAAGAAAATCATCTCTCTCTTATACTTTTCTTTTTCTCTCTATCTTATCCAATAAATTTTCCCTCTGGAAATTGTCTTGACAAACTTTTTCTTTATTTTCCTCTCGATTTATGAAATGTTTTTGAGACAGCCTAACTAAAAATGAAGATTATTCGGTAGACTGCGGGTGAGAGACGGTGACGAGGAAAGGCAACAAAGTAGACTTCACGCTTTTATTTATCTACATATTAGTATATCAAATTTAACAGTATCTCTATGAACAATAAAGACTCCATGGCCCAATGGATAAGGCGCTGGTCTACGAAACCAGAGACTCTGGGTTCGATCCCCAGTGGAGTCGCTCGTTCAATCATTTTTTTATACGACGTCGTATCAAGTAATAAAACGATGACGTAGCATGCAGCCTACATGACAACGTTGTATCAGTTTTCAAGCAAAAGCGCCAAGAGAAAAAGGAAGCAGAAACAGTTCCACAGAGATGATTCAAGATAAGTTCGAAATAACCAAAAGGTTAAAAACGATCCATACAAAGAACTCTCTTCAAGCGTATTGGACATTGGCGCAACGAAACTAGATTCTAAAGAACATGAAAACGTGAGAGATGTGAGCAGCGTGGTGGTTAAAATACCAAACAGCACCGGAGTCCTTAGTCCTTAGACCAATGAAATGCTGCTCTCACCGCCGGGAGGCTTCCTGACACCGCCAAAATAGTCCCGGGACTCTGACTTCCCGTCTGAAAATATATTGTTTCCGCTCATCTCCCGGAGTTTAGCTGAGCTCAGCTGCTTATCCGCAGTGCCAGGCGACTCATCTCCTTTGAAAATACCATTCCCAGTGAGTTCCTGAAACTTCTGTTCATGTATCTTCTTTGACGTCTTCACAACTGGTTCTTCACTGAATAGTATGTTGCTTTGACCTCCTGCTGGCTGCTCAAAGAAGATTAGGTTATGTTCTTCATTCAGTTTCCTTTTTCAAAGCAATGCCAAGATTGATTGATTTACTTACATTGGAGACTTTAACAGAAGTGCGTAAGTTCCTCGGAGCAGGCTCTCCCATGTCTCGGTTGCCTCTGGCTTCCTGTTGTGCAGCAGCCAAGGTTCGAGTCTGAATCTCGGGTGGAGGTCCAAAGATGTCGTGACCGCTGATCTCTTCGATCTTGGCACTTGATATCTGCTTCTTGCTCTTTAGCTCTGCCTCGGTTAGCAAGTTCCCACTCAGCTCTCTCTGCTTTGCAACTTCTGTTAAAGTGGTTGGCTTCTTCGGGGATACATTCCCGTCTGCGCTGAAAGATATCTGACTCACTCCATTCAGCGTTTGCTGCAAAACTCAAGAGCACCATTACATTACATAAACAACTCATTCCGGTTTAGACTTTTGACACATAAGAAGACGAGTAGTAAAGTTACCTGATAGTAACGAAGTCCAGTCTTTGGATCAGTAGCATCGGATTCAGCTCCGCTCTTTGCCTTGTCAGAAAATATGCCACTACCGGTCATCTCTTTTAGCTTGTACCCTGAGCAATTCTTCCTGTTCAAAGAAACAACCTTTAAAACTTCAACATCTTGAAACCGTCAAAGTAGAGTAACAAAAATAGATAAACAAAATGAAGCAACTGAATTAGCTAAGGAAAGATTTCACTAAGCAACTGAATTAGCTGTGGAAAGGTTTCACTATATAAATTTGAAAGCTATGGAAGATTAGCAGAGAAAGATCTATTCATTAGACAATGGGATGAACAATAACACTATAGAGAACAGTAGTGGTTTGACATGTAATGGTGGGGCTTTGATGAACAAAGAATGTGATAAAAATATATAAAAATTAGATTCTCAGAAAAGCCAAAAGCATTTGACCAATCCCTTTCATTAGTTCATCAATCTAATAATATTACAACTGACTTCATACAAAGAAACCATTTTGTGAAAAATGCAATCACTTTCAGAATCAAAAAAAATTGCATTTCTAAATACAAAAAATCAAAATCAGGGGTTAAAGAAACAAATCCAGATACTAGATCTGCTAACGAAATCAAGTTGAAAAAATGAATGTAAATAAGGATTCGCATGAGAGATGAGATCAATTGGATCTTTACAGCTTATTGAGAGACTGAGCTTCCTCGTCTGTGATCTGACTACCGCCGAGGACCTTGCTGATTCCATCGGACGGCTGAAAATGAAAGATGAAAGAACAAAGCTTGAGCTTCTGTTGTCGATGGAAAGATAAAGCGACATTGGTCGAAGCAAAAACGCACCTGGTGAGAACGAGCGGCGGAAGCGGTTGAGTGGTGAGGAGGAGGGGTTTCCGACCAGGAAAGCAGATCGGCGGTGGAAGTGTGTGGGTTTCTCACCGGCGTGCTTCTCTCCATATTTCTCTGTCTTAACCTTTTTTGTTTTCTCTTTCTTCCGATTGGAGCTTTTGAGCTAAGGTCGAGAGAGAGTGAAAGGCTTTCACTTACTTCAGTGGAAGAGATATTTTGTTTTTTTTCTCTTCTTTTTAACTTAAAATGAAAACGAAAAAAAAATAGTTATTTATTTTGGGATTAGATGAGTGTAAAAACTAAAAAGCTTTGCAAATTTGGTATTTTTATCAACAAAATTTACAGCAAAAAGTAATTGTTACTTGTTAATCCTTGCACAGCAGAAATAGGAATTTATAAAAATCTTGATAAGCCGAACATTCTAATTCTAATCCTAATCATTATCCAAATCCAAATCCAAATCCAAATTGAGTAAAGAAGTCTACCAAAAAGTTTCTTACATGAAAAATGTATACACGTAAGCATCTATATGAGATCTGGTGTGCGGAGATCTCCTTGAAGAGAGCAAGGAGGCGATGTTCGGGCTAATATTCAAGGTTTTACAAACTGTTTCTGTAACTCTCTAGTTTGTTGTTTTAGCTTCACCGATAGGTTACGTACAAAACAAGTAACGACCCATTCCAAACCTAACTAAAGACGTATTAATTTCAAGTGCTTTCTCTTATTAAAACTAAACGATCAAGTAATCCCAACAAACACAAGATCAAGTTCCATGGAAATTGGAAATAAAACTGTACATTATTTTAGGAGTAAATGACTATGTTCTCTGTTTCTTCAAGCTAAACACCATACTCCATGGGAGAACTCAAAATGCTCCTCCAATTCAATCATATACCTATTCTTATATAAATCTAGAATCCAATTTTCAGAAAGCAGCAACGTCGAGGCATTCTCTTCCGCTTCCGCTCCTTGAAACTACATACCATGTATAGCTTGGATATGGTCTAAATGTCTGATGGGCTTTAGCTTTATTGTTGGTGTTTTTAACTTATATAATCGACCTTCTTATGTGTTTTGGTAAGTTTACTCTGTTGTCTGTTCGATCGAACGGAGCTCCCAGTTTCCTTCTCCATCAATCAGCCTTAGCTCCAAGGAGTGGAATGGGATCAAAGCCGGACGCTGAGGTTTGTGACAAGAGTAGTCAGATTTTTGGCAGAGAGTTTTGATGAGGTTGCGTGGTTCTGAGTGTATGGAAAAGAAAAAAGAGCTTACTTGTGATGAGGTTATGAAAGTGACACCCATGTCTCTTGCAACCCTATAGAGCTGTTCCTCAACATCAACACTCGTCGCGCTGCAGTACATAAACAAGGTTAGCTGATTAAAACTACATGAAAAAGAAAAGTAGACGAGAAGACTGATCATTTACTTGGTGCATTCATCAAGGATTCCAAACTTTGGCCTGTGAAAGAATAAACGAGCCTACAATACGAAACGACTCAGATTATTCACGCGAGTCATAGAGCTATATCTGGTTGTTGCTTTACAAGAGACATAGTAGTGACATACCATGCCAAGTCTTTGTTGCTCTCCAAGAGATAATATGTCTTCCCAGTTGGTAGTCGCATCCCAACCACTATCGTCTCTTTCCAAAAGATAAACTAACCGAACATTCTCCAGGATTGTTTTCAAATGAACGTCCAGAATGCTTCCAGCATCTGTTGAGCTTTCTCCTGTTACTTACAACAACATTCCATGAGTATGAGAAAGAGCAAGATCAGATCACTTCTACTTCAGGTCTTGTATGGCGGTAACAGATAAGTTTCTCCACAGATCAGTTATATTTGCGTGTGGGGAGGATTGATTTGAGAACCAAATCGACCTTTTGAAGTAAATGATTTTTTGGGACTTACCATTGGTGTACAACTTCGCTGCCCGTTGCTTTGCTTCTTCTTTAGATAGAGGGTATATGATTTGATCTCTCAGTGTCCCTAAACATGTATAAGGTCGCTGCGGGACAAAAAATATGCCATTCCCTGACCCAAGTTCTTTGATATCCAATGATGGTTTGGCAAGACTTCCACATACAGTGGGCCATATATCTCTAAGGACTCTAAATACAGAGGTCTTTCCACTACCATTGGGACCTGAAAGTTTTGCCAGTGTTAGCTCTGGGCTCATGCAAATAAGTTCAATGATACGAAGATTAGTTCACCAACCTGTGACGAGCAGGCTTTTCCCTGAAACTATTTCGCATGACAACTTGCTAGCCATCAATTTCTGAGCAGGGGTAATGATATCCACCTCCGAAAAGGAAATTTGATCTTGAGAATCCAAACGACTTGTGTGATTTTGTGCGGTAACACCTGAAAATAGTTGGAAAAAACAACTATGATCAACCCAAGAACAGACATTTAAAATCACGGTCAACACTGTGACGCCTTGTCAAAATGTGAACGTATATATACTGTAGTACCTGACTGAGAAGCATCCAAAAACTCATCGAGCTCAAAAATTCTGTTGATACCACCAGAGAGCTCCAGGAACTTCTTGTGTAGTTCAAGAATATCGCCAAACGCCATGAAGCTTTGAGAGACAACAGAAGCTAGATACCGCAATGCATGTGCCAATTCACCTGGTATCAAAGACATCAAGCAAGAAAGTGTTACATAGATAACATGTACATACTTGATTGGTTGACGTTAATCAAGTGATTTACTAGACAAGTACTATTGGGGAAAAGGTGGTGACTGAGCTTCACCTTGAGTTGACACAAGTGCTCTATCTCCTTTGTGTTCTAGGGCATACAACAAACTCAATCCCCAAGTCACATTATTGGGAAGTTGCTTTGTCACAAAATCATCAAGTATGCCGTACACCCATTTCTTCCTCAGGAGCATGAGAGAGTGGTCCAGTAGTGCCCTGAATTTTGTGTCGACCATCTGCTCCATGAAAAACAAAACACATGTATAAGTAAAACGTTACGAAGAATCCTTGATAGCTTTCACTTCTTGTAGCTCTGCATCAAAATAGCTAGCCCAAAATCCTACAGTTATAGGGAAGTCAAGACACTTACAGCTTTTTCTCGAGCTCCACCTCCAAAGAATGCAATGGATTCAGCATGAGTATTCAGCCTCTCGTGCATAAACCTACATAGTCAGGAAGAAGTTGGTTATAGTCGCCATGACGCAATCATCTGCAAAATGGAAGAAACGGAAAAGAAAAAAAAACTTACCTAAACTTCCCCTCAAGCTGCTGCTCTTCACCGGCTAGATCACCAAAATCGGGAGCAACACGTCTCAGAAAGCCCAGACCAAGTAACATATATGTGTAAAGTATGGCAACTCCCCTCTGACCAGTCAGTAGCTTCATCCTCCAGGTGAACCTTCGATATTTTGTTTTTGTATAATTATAATATAAACCAAGAACCATGAAACAAATATCAGAAAAACTATCAAACAAAATGTACTTACCAGAGAATATCAACCGATGGTTTTACCATTCCAGTCAGAAGTCCAGACAAGTCAGAGGTTAGCTTTTCCAGGTCTCGAGTGAGTCTCTGGTCTGCGTCAATACTATTGCCTGACATGTGGAAAACCTGAAAAGATTTGAACCCAATGAGATCAACTTACAAGAAAAGAACAAACAACCAGCCTCTATGAGCCTTATAGATTTGGACTGACCTTGTAAAACGCATTATTTCTCAAGTAATTTCGTAGTAGATGTTGGGTCAAACGAATCCTCCACCCTAAAGCTAGCCTTTGCGTTAAATGCCTGAAAAAATGTAACGAAAACCACATCAGCAAGGGGTTTCTTATATGTAACTAATAATCTAACAAAAACCAATACTATAGCTTGCTTTTTATCTAGTGCATAGAAAGGAAACATTACCTTAATGAAGGAGCAATGACAGAAGATGCGCCACTTTGGAGAACACTCATACCAATCAAACGAACAAAGGCTGCCTTATCTTGCTCTAAGACATACTTCACAGTGGTCCCTGCAAAAATCATATGTGGTTGCTTGAAATGAAGCCCTTTCAATAATAATGATTAGGTAACAAAACGGAGTATGTGTACCATTCAAAGAGGCTATTCGGTCAGAGATCAGTGTTCTTGAGACAACAAGGCAAGCAACAGCAAGCAGTTGTACTCCTTGTTTGTCAAATAGAGTGGGTATCTGAAACGTAACAATGAAGTGGTCAGCTATTCTGAGAGGTACAAATATCAACTCATTAGCTTTAATGCGGGAGGAATAAGTTAGCCAAGTGGGAACAAATGTGTTGGGCCTAAGGAAGCTAAAGAAATGCACTGAAATGCAAAGCTGGAGGGAATGGAATAGAAAGAAGTTTATATATGCATTCAGATGAGGAATGCATACGTATTTTTTTCTATGTAAACAAAAAAATGCCACAAGTAGTTTCATTAAAATTCACACTAGTAACTCAAACTCACCAATACGTTTAACATTGAAGCTACTCTTGATGGCAGTGCCCTTGGGGATGTTTGTGGTTGAGGAAAACGAGGCAGCACAACACTTTTATCAACAAAAGGTGATTTTGCAATTAACTGTGTCGAGTACGACTGAGCCTTTGAATTGGTGGAGCCAGATTCCTACATAGCACCAAGTAACAAGGTTATAACGACCAAAAGAGCACCCCTCAATGAAGATTAAAAAATTGATGTCATAAGCTTCTGTAGACCTTTCTAGCTGCAGCAAAAGCTCGTTGTACAACCATTGCATCATTTTGCCGTTTTGTATCTGAACTTTTCACTGAATCAATTCCAGCGTCCGTCAGAAGTGCAGAGTCATCCCTGAAGGTTTGGTTATTTTCAATAAGTACATACAAAATATAAAACTTTGATAATCCTCACAAACATGGTTAAGAAACACTTCCAACCTCTTGTAGTGAACACTCCATCCCCCTTCTCCGTCTAATGACAGAACAACATCATGGAATGCAACAAGGGCTGGACGATGGGAGATTGTTATGCAAGAAGTTCCCATAGCTCGAACCTTAGCAGCGAAACGTTCTTCCATATCAGTTGTTACAGCACTTGTGCATTCATCAAGAATTGCAAATTTGGGTTTGTGGTAGAACAGTCTCGCCATTCCCAATCTCTGTTGCTCTCCAAGAGATAATTCATCACCCCAATTAACCTCTTTGTCCGGTTGGTAGCGATCCAATAAATATTCCAAGTCAACCTACAAGCAGAAGCCAAAAAATTAAGCATCATATACAACGCTTGACAGAAAACGAACTTAAACGACACAAACCATCCTACTATGGAATAGAGAAACTAGGATACCAACATTTTCCAATAGCTCAACCATTCCAGTCTCAGTGAGCGGTTCAGTCTCGTGATCAGAAGTAAGAGGATATATTAACTGGTCTCGAAGTGTTCCTACTGCCATATAGGGCCGTTGCGGCACGTAGAAGATCTCCTTGTTAAGATCAGAACCAACACCTGGCTTCACAATATGCCCAGACACCAGGGGCCATAGACCTCCCAATACTCGGAAAAGGGAACTCTTGCCACTTCCATTAGGACCTACGATACATATTGTTGTATAAATAACAAAATGGGATCAGTCACTGTTTTATTTTATTTTTGTTTATATGTCATCATCTATTTTCAGTCACTGTCTTTTGATTGAGAAATCTTGTTTTTTGTTTTCCCAAACTTGGTGAAAATGTTCTTGTTTTTATTTTAAAGAGTCCCGCCTAAATAGGAAAACTAATTTCAGACCGGAATAAATAGAAAACCAGGGAAATTTTGATATTATATTTTTGTGGAGCCAAATTTTTCTTTTAACGTAAAATACTGGTGTCATTTCATTGTTTAGGACTTCACGTTCAAGAAAACAAATAATTTTTTATTTGAAAAAAAAATTGCAAACCAAATACAAAGAAAGTTTCCTAAACTGACTAGTTACCAACTTATTTCTTGAAAAAGTGCGTTTAACAGGGGAAAAATGAGGCAATTACAATCTGATGACATAACTGCCATTCAAGTCCACAATCAACATTGTTTATATATTTTGTTATTCTAAGTAACTCTTTTACACTTTTGTTAATCATGGATAACGTGATTCACGCATTTTGCAAGATAACTTTGTCAAAAATGTATCAATTAGACTAGTATCTTTGAACTAGCGATTACATTTTAAAAATGGTTTTCGTCCACGAAAATCTGACGTGTTTCTGATGCAATATCTATCTGTAAGGATAATAAGAAACTGGATTATCAATTTTTTTATTTTTGGAAAAAACATCAACTGGATTATCAATTAGAGTTGGCTCGGTGGGGCAGATCAGATCCACCAACATGTGAGCTTTCTGCTACTTGGATCCACGTCTTAAAAGCGTATAACTTATTTCCAAAACTGGATATATCATTTTCTGAAATTTCTTGCCAAACACGTGGCCGGTTAAATCCAATCCGGTTGGTAATCTGGTTTGGTAGGTCACTTCCCATTCCTTAGTTTTATGTTTCGGTTTGTAACGGCCCACTAGAAAGGTAAGTGTCCCCAAATAGCTGCGGCGGCCCAATTGATCGAGACCCGAGTCTCTAACCAAACAGAACCTTATCTAATTCTTGAAAATATCAATTACTAAAAGTAGAGAAATTTTGGAAATATACTCTTAAATGAATTTTTAATTTGAAAACTATCTTTATTTTTTTTTTGGTTTTGAAAAATATATTTTTTTATATGTGAAATAACTTAATTATATTAATTGAAGTTTTCAATTAATTTAATAAAAACGAAATTCAAATAAGAAATACAAAATATTAAGATTGGATAATAATTCTATTTCATTTTAAAATACTAAACCATCCTAATTATCTGTTTAGTTTTTTTTTTTAAATTCAATAAAAATTAAAGTTGTTTATATAAAGTTTATGTTTATATAATCATTAAGGTTGTTTATATAAAGTTTCAAAAATATTTAAATTTGTTTCAAGATAAACATTAAAAATGAAAGATATATTTCTCCACTTTTAAAATTTTAATAATTTATAAAGCTTAAATATATGTAAAGTTTAAAATTATATAAAGTTTCATTTGCTTGGAATATGTGAGATTAAGTTGTTTATATAAATGTCCAAAAATATTAAAATTTGTTTCAATTTAACAGATACTGTATTTATCTGAAAAAAAAACTTATTAATTCTATTATTTGAATTTCGTTTATAATTTGTAATTATTTATTAATGTTTTGTTTAAATCAGGTCAAAACAGATTTTTTACATTCAAAAAAAGTATTTTTCAAAACAGAAAAAAAATCTAGAGTATTTTTCAAATTTTTAAACATAAATAGGATATTTTTCAAAGAATCCCAAAAGTAAAACCATAGATATTTGATATCTATGTAAAAAAAAAGCTATCTGATATCTCTAGTCTGATTAGTGTGTCAAAACAGAGAAAGATAGATGTAAACACTAAACAGTAATGGAATCATTAAGAGAAGTAAGAAAGAATGATGAGAGATAGTGATATACAACTATTGTATATTGATGATTAGTAATCATATTACCACTATATCCGTTATTCATCACACCCATCATTTTCATCTGCAATTCAGAGATTCACACGAATTACGAATTATTTATCAATAAAGTGGGGTTTTTAGCACACAACAAAAGTTTGGGTTATTTTCAGAAACTATTGTAACTTGTGGATGTAGAATTTGTGTTTTCGAAGTAATAATAATTTTGGCTCGAACCGACGTTACAGAGCAAACCATTAATGAGGAAGAGTGGCAAAAGCAGAGCAATCGGCGCATTAATGGCAGAAGACAAAACCCATTAATTGTTTTTCTCTCACCCATCTTCTTCTTCTTCTTCCTCCTCTTCTTCCCCAAATTTAATGCTCTCTGTTTTCGTTCTCCGTGCAATACGCAAGCATTCAAATTTCATGTCGGTACAGAAAATTCAAAACTTTCAGAAGACAGAAACACAATCAAGAGATTAATTTATTATTTTGATTATACGGAAACACTCGACAAGGATTTAATTTGAGATTTAACATTAACCAACAACTTTACCTAACTAATCATGGGTTTGATCCAAAATTTTCGATTGTTCACTCTTCTCTTGACCTCCCAATCCCGGCGTATTAGGAACAGAACAAGGATTTGTTGATAACGATGATTGGTTAAGGTTTGGTTTCGATGGTGGAGCTGCGAAAACTGGAATCACTGATCGGATTTGAACTGCTGGAGCTAGCCTATTACTACAACCTCCGGCGAAACTGAATCTGCCTTTGTCGGAAAAGGGGATTTGGTTACCGAATCCGAATGATGATTCCTTGAGTTTGGTCTTATGATCAGCCATTGGTAAAGGAAACGACTTTGTGATGATCTTCTCTGTCTCTGGCTTAGCTTCTTCTGCTGATTTGCCTTTGAATTGTTGCTGAAGATTTGTTCTTAATGGCTGGCTTTGTGCTGACGGAAGCAGAGAGAAGAAACTGGTTTTGTTGAGTTGTTTCTGCGTTGATGACGATGATGATGAAGATTCGTTTGTCAATAGATTGATCCATCTCAATCTCTCAATCAACAAGTCCTTGTTTGTTGTGTCTTGTTGATGACTTGTTCTTCTTCTCCATTGGTTTGCTGTCTCTCTTCTTCTTACTTCTTTTGGCTTGAATCTTGAGAGTACTCTTGCTACTACTTCTTGTTCCTTCTCTTCACCATTTTCAGCATCCAAGCTTGACACTGTGGAGTAACAACAAAAAAATGATGGATTCAATTAGAAAAGTGAAAAGCTTTTTTGGGATTTATTATGGAAATTGGAAAAGAGAGTTTTTAATTTTGAGCACTTTTTTTCAAAGAAGACCAAGCAGCAATGGCTGCGTTTTTCTCAGCTTGTTTCTTTGTCTTTGCTGATTCTCCAGTAAAACTCATCCCAGCAAGTTCCACAGTGCAAGAGAAAGCTGGGAAGTGACAAGATCCTGATCTTACACTTGTGTACATTGGTAGATCAAGACCAGCTCTATGTGCTGTCTCTTGAAGCAAGTTCTTGTAAATCCCTGTCTCATCCTTAGATTGAAATCATATATAATTAAAGATGTTACACTTTTTGTTTGCAAGTTTGTATATGATCAATACACAAAAGAAAAAAGACAGAACTTACAAGAATCTTAGCAGTTAGAGACTTTGATGGAACTCTAGAGGAAAGGACATTGAGTGAAACTTCAGCAGCTGCATGTTCAGCTTGTCTGAGAGTGGAACAGTAAGTTGGACTCTCAAATATCTCACCATTGAAGTTAACAGAAGCTTTGAATCTTGGAGCATGATCTGGTCCTTCTCTTATGCAAGTATATGATGGTAAGCTAAAACAGCTTCTCTGTGCTAGCTCTTGAAGCTGATTCTTATACATGTTTTTGGTAGATCTTAGAGAAAACCAAAGTAAAAACCTACCTGCTATATTTTGGTATCTATGGTTTGGCTATTTAGTGTTGAAAGTAGGATTATAGAAGAGAGACACAGATAAAGAGAGCTTTTGCAGAGGTTTTTGAGCTCTTGACTCACATGGTAAGGTTCTAAATAAAGAGGAGCTAGAGGTTGCTAAAACAGTAATAGTGACATTTCAATTGAAATATGGTTCGTCTTTTTATATAATTTATAACATGTGCATACAAATATCACTTATGAACAAGTCATTGACTCTCTTTATTGTATTTGTCTATGGTGTAAGTTTGACTGGACAGTTACCTTCATTCTCAGTTAAAAAACAGTTTCTTTTACATCAAAAATAGTCAATAGCTGTTCATGAAAATGATTTCTACTATAAATATTTGTTTGATTCCCTTCATGAATGAAAAGTCCTTGTCTGAGGAAAAGACTCATCTCTAACCTTGTTTAAACAAACATAACAACCCAATACCTTTGGTTTAAAGAAATTAATTGTGGACTTAGAAGAAGAAGAAACGTTTTAGGGTTCTTTAGCATTTATTGCAGAGCCGTGCTTCAATGAACACTATAAACAAGACTTGTCTAGTCTTATGGTCCACACATGTCTGAAAGTGAAAATTCAGTTTCAGCTTTATTATTATTTGACACAGTTCTTAAGTACAGTGATAAAAATCGTCTGTATTCATTTTGTTTTCTCATTCTGTGAAAGACAAGTACTGTCAAAATCATAGATTGAGTTAAAACACAATGATTCAAGATTTAACTGTCGAATAAAACACCCATAACTTCTGAAAAATATCACACCAATTCACAATTTGATTTCACTTTAAAACCAACAATAATACATCAATCAAACAAGCTACATTTGAAAAAACACCTCTCAAGACTGTTTCTAAGGTCTTCTTGCTGCCAAGGCCATAACTTCAGGTGACATTTCCCAGCTTGACTGCCTCGGACGAATGTTTGGCCTACCGATCTGTTCATCATCATTCACTTGTGTCCTAATGTCACCTAACTCATCGTCATTAACATGAAACCGTTCATTGTTGTTACTACCACCATTCTTGTCATCACCACCATGTTCAGCCATTGCCCAAACACCTTTCCTTCCCATTTCAATCTCATCATCATTACCTCTTCCCATGTTTGGACTCATGAAGCCTCCAACAGCTGATCTCGACGGCATTGGAGCTTCCCTAGGTACCATAGCTCTGAAATCGTTCTTGGAAGGAGATATCGCCGAGTAAAAGATCTCTTTAAAGTTATCAACCAATCCTTTGTTATGTGGGTTGCTACGCCGGTCGTAACTGTATCTGAAGTTTTCATATGTTGTCTACAGAAAACAACGAAAAAGATTCGATCAAAACGTGGAAAGTGATTGAGAGAGAGGTTAGAGAGGGGAAGGATTAAGGTTTACCTGATTTGTGCTGATGAGATAGATGTGGAAACATGTTAAGCCTCCAACAAACCACATTGTTATGAATGTGTAGAGTATCAGCGCCATGGAAGCAGGAGTTTTGAGCATTGCTTTCCAAATGGTTACATCTTCAGATTCTTTGATCTTCCTTATATAGACACAGCAGAAGGCCAACA